TCCAATTTTTCAGGAACCGTAGATAACGAATTGGTCATGGTTTTATCTTAATTCAGACCAATTCAGACCATGCTCACCCCTAAGTTTAGCTACTAATCAATATTTTAAGGGTGAAAAAGTACACATTTTTTATAGGGTATATATCATATATATCTTATAATTAAAAAAAATAATATAATTTCGTACTTTCTAAGTTATAATTAGAATTTTTTTTTATTATAACTAAACACAATATGAGGTATAACTAAAGAATTCTTGGGTCATAACTAAAATAATGTTATAATTATATAATAAAATAACATAACTAGGAGTACATACGGTATATTCTTTTCAAGTGTGTGTATATTAGAATTTCGCTTTAAGGATAAGTTATATTGACAAACTCTGAAATTTTAAAAAAATATATAATAAATTTTATAATTTTTTTTATAATCTTTTTAGTAAAATTTAATGAATTCAAATTAATAAAAATTAACAGCATGCAATATATATTTTTATGTAAAAAGATGATAATGTCATTTTTTATGTATATAATTAACAAATTATTGATAAAAATTAAGTCAAATGTTATATAAATTAACAGTTTAAGTAAACTTAATAAAACTATCACTACAGGAAATTAGGAATTTAACGGTGTTTAATTAACGGCGTTTTATTAAACGTCACATTTTTTAATTTTTAACGGCATTTTATAATCGCCGTATATTTTTTTAATCAAAATGGCACCGTTTTATAATTGAAGGCGATTAAAAACGCCTCCGGATGCGGTGCATACACGCGCCCCTTTTTGAAACCTTATTCTTGAATCTGTGCGCTTTCTCTCTCTTATACGCACACATCTCTCTCTCTCTCTCTCTCTCTCTCTCTTTCTCTCAGCGACGAAGAAGACGAAGGAGAGTACTCTAGGAAGAAGCTTCGTCTCTTGAAAGATCAATCGACTGTTCTTGAAGAGAGCTTCAAAGAACACAAGCTCCATCGGCTGTTCAAAGCGATTTCGAAGATTCAGATCGATATCAATCGGCTGTTCAGAGCGATTTCGAAGCGATTTCGAAGATTCAGAGCGGCATGTGCGTTGCTGAACTTGTCGTTGATCGATGAGAACAAGATTTCGATCGGAGCTTGTGTTTATCCAAACTTTCTTTGTTCAATTAGAAGCACTATGGTTCAGACAACTTTAGAGTTGGACAAGGTTAGTTTTCATTTTCTTTGTTAGGGACCAATATTTTCGAAATGTTTGTTTGACTAATTACATAGAAGCCGTTTAGCAAAGCTTTTAACTGGGAATATTTGGATTATTGTAAAATTCAATGTATAAAGAGAGAAATACAGAGAATAATGTATCTATTGATGTATTATTGATTGATTGATGAATATGTTTACAATGATTCCTATATATAGAAGAGTAGAGTAGATAGGTGTGTAGTAGGTGGAGTAGGTGGTAGTAGGCGGTAGTAGGTGGTAGTGGTAGGTTTTAACAGCCCCCCGCAAACTCAAGGAGGAGAGACACAAATCAACTTGAGTTTGGAAAGAGTAACAAAATAAGAAAATAGACTAATACATAAAAATAAAAGAGGATATGAGACACTGTATGGTCGTGTCAGACCGTTGGTGAAGACACTGTATGGTTGTGTCAGACCGTTGCAAGAGCTAACCGGAATCAATGTCAGGACAGTTTATGGGGTCATGTCGGACCGTTGTAGAAGCTAACCGGAATCAATGTCGGGACAGTTTATGGGGTCTTGCCGGACCGTTGTAGAGGCTAATCGGAATCAATGTCGGGACAGTTTATGGGGTCATGCCGGACCGTTGGAAAAGCTAATCGGAATCAATGTTGGGACAGTTTATGGGGTCATGTCGGACCGTTGTAAAAGCTAACCGGAATCAATGTCGGGACAGTTTATGGGGTCATGCCGGACCGGAATAAAGTTGCACCCTCAAAAGGTGTGCCCAAGCTGTCAAAAGGCGTGCCATCAAAAGGCGTGCCCAATCCATAAAAAGGTGTGTCGGACATTATGGCGATGCAGGTGACTACCTTGGCTTGCGCGCCCATGTTGTCGTCTAGCGCCGAGCGGCGCACGATGCGCGTGTTTGCCTTGGCTATGTAACCAAGACGGAGGCTGAGGCTGAGACAAAAACCTGCTAAAAACCTCTGAAAAACTCTTTGTTTTCTGAGAGAGATACTCTGTAACACTCTGTTGCCCAGAAAATGGCATCTTCTTCCCGTGGTCTGCTCACTCTCTTTCTAGACCTTAACGAGTCCACAAGAGAGATAACTGGTGCGGTTGCCCTGGAACCTCAACCAAGTGCCTCTGGTTTTGCGCCGTTGAACTTTCCTATGCGGTCTGTGGAGCAAAAAATGGCAGGGCAATCGGATATTGAGGCCAACCAGTATACATTGAAGTCGTGCGTGGAGACCATGACTGCGGTCACAAACTTGTCGCACTGGCTTCAGAGTAGGACAAATGAGGTGCAGCAGTTAAACGCCCAACTGGCTCTGCTCCAGCGCATGTATAAGGATGCGCGAGCAGAGATAAGTGTGCTAAAGGCGGAAAACAAGGAGCTGAAGCGGAAGGCCACTGTTAAGTTCCGATTTGGAAGTCCGCCATATGCTGCAGTGGACGAGTATGGAGGAGTGAACGTGCTCCGTGGACTAGGAAGTACTGAGGTAGCACCGTCAAGAGCCGCCCATGACGGAGGCAAGAAGAAAAGACCGGCGGAAGAGGCGAAGAAGTGAGGTCGGTGTGTGGCCGTCTGCAGAAAAGAAAACAAATCTTTTGTTGTTGTGGGTGTTGGATTTTTTTTTTTTTTTTTTTTTTCTTTTTTTTTTTTTTTTTTTTTTTGGAGAACTGTGATCAGGGTTGATCCCTAATATAAATAAAACAAAGTTGTTGTGCAAATCTGTATGTTTTTTTTTATTTTTTTTTATTTTTGAAATGAAAAAAGGGAAGATAAAATAAAATAAATAAAGGTAAAGTGGGGTGCAAAAGGTGAAGGAAAGGTGTTGGGGGCGGTGGTGTAATGTTCAAAAAGAAAAGATAAAAAATAAAATAACGGTTTGAAAAAACAGTGATGGTGTGTGAATCTGTGAGTTGATATTGCGTATTATAATATATTATAATGGTGTGGTGGGAACAAGCCCACGAGGTGACAGCTTTGGGAGACGTAACACGTTGAGAAGTAGCTCTGGGAGACACAACTTTTGGAGAAGCAACCCTAGGAGAGGCAGCCCGGGGGACCACCAAAGGTGCTGGTTTTGGTTCCTCAGCAGGCGTGGATGGCCCAATAAGTATGTTCTGTTGGTCTACTTCCCTGAGGATTTTCTCAATACTGCTCGGCTCCCTGAAGAGGGGAATGAATGATTTCGTCTCTCCATGCCTCAATATTCCTCGCCCCTTCTTCTTTTCCTTGGAACTTTTCTTCTCCGGTCCATTTACAGGCTTCTCCTTAGAACTGGGTATGAAAACCCTCTTGATTGCAGAAAACCAACTTCCCTTCTTCCCCATGTTTCTTGCATCACTTTTCCTCCCTGAAGAAGTTATTTTCCATCCTTCCAAACACCTTTCAGAAAGCTAAACCAGGAAAAAAGAAAGCAACTGTGGAAGAAGAGAGAGAGATGGGTTTGGTGTGTGCCGTGTGTGTGTCTCCTCGAGCTACTGCTGTGTTTCTCTTTCTGCGTAGAGAGAGAGATGCATGCCGAGAGGAAGAAGAGGTGCCGAGAGGGAGCATTTAAAGTTGGTGTGGTCGGAGATTGACCTCCAACGCCGGCGACGACAATGCAGATAAAGCTACAACATAGACGGACCTGCGATCCATATCCACGGCCTCACTGGTGTGAAGGTATGTGTAGAGGTCCGGCGGGCGGCCAAGGTGAGGCTGCCGCCCGCCGGTGAAGTAGAATGACTAAGTTGTTAAGCTAGCTCTGATACCATGTAAAATTCAATGTATAAAGAGAGAAATATAGAGAATAATGTATCTATTGATGTATTATTGATTGATTGATGAATATGTTTACAATGATTCCTATATATAGAAGAGTAGAGTAGGTAGGTGTGTAGTAGGTGGAGTAGGTGGTAGTAGGTGGTAGTGGTAGGTTTTAACAATTATAGCTTTAGAAAGTGAAGAAGAAAATCAAGTTCAGAATAGAATTAGCTTAAATTTATGTGTGTGTTTTAAAAGCAAGGACCATTGATCTCCATTGAGTATGAAATATCATCTAATTGGTTGGTAACTATGTCAAGTTCATAATAGAATTAGATTCATTAATTTATTTGTCTATTTTCTTCATGGTTGAGTTAATGAATATTTTTTTCTCACTCATACTTCTGTGTTTTGTTTAATTTTCTTATTTGCTGTTGCTTATTATGAAAAGATTATTTTTAATAGGCCCATAAGGATGTCACCCTAGTGGTTGCAAATCTTCACAGGTTTATTCATGATTGCATCCCATTGTTGGCTAGCAGAGTTTATCCTTCGAATAATAAATGGTAATCATTTCGATTCTCTGTGAAAGCTCTAGTACTCATTCCAAGTTCTTGATTGTTTTTGGGTGAATTAAGTTCTTGATTGTTCTTTCACTGGAATCTATACTCTGTTTTCTGAATCTGTAACTCTGTCACATATGTATCTGATTTGATTGATTTCCGAATCTATCACCCTATCATATAGGTAGATAACTAAATTAGTTTTTTTATTTTTTTATTGTTTTCTTCCAGGATGATAATAGGAAGTGGGTATGCACACTTCAGGATCTATTTGTTTTCTTTGCTGCATGTCAGTCAAATAATGTTTTCCAGAAGCATCTTCACTTCCTAGTTACCAAATGCAAGATCTCTCCTGTCCGATTTTGGTCGAAGCTTTTCACTGAAGAAGGTTTTGATCATGGCATCCTCTTTAATTATTTGTTTTGTCGCATTTGTTTTGTTTTGTTTCTTTTGTTATAAGCAACACTTTTGTCTAAATCCTTAAAATTGACTGGGAATAGCACAATCTGGAGTAATTTTCTTAAGGAACTTTTGAGCTTAATGGTTCAACAAAAGAGGCTCATGCTATCAGACAGAAAAGTTCTGCCTTCAATTTTAACATCTTTGCTTGGCTCTTCGTGCCATAGCCTTTTAGTGCCTCAGACAATTGGACAAAGGTTTTCACCTGTTTGTTATGCTTAGTTTTCATCATATCATCATCATACTGTCATCTTCTTTCTCATAATAACCATCATTTCATTTTGTCCACTTTGTCGATATCCATAGAATAGGAAGATCATGAAGTCTATAGTTTAAAAAGAGAGTTGCTTCTGTTTCTTTAAGTAGGCCCTATGAGTTGTTGCCTTTAATAAAATAAAATATTTCTTGATATCCTCTTCATCTTATGTCTTTCAATGAGTTTTGTTCTCATTAAAGAACTATTGCAATTTTAGCTGTCCTGAATCACTGCTATTATTATCTGTACTAATTTACAAATTGCTTACTGATGTTAACTTTCTGTGTTATAATTTTCTAAATTAACTTGTGCAACTGTCATTTTTCAGATTCAGTCAGTCTATAAAGAATGACATACTAGTTTTCATTCTAGGATCCGCCCTATATCTTTCTGCATATGCAAAGGTTGGTGATTCTGATTTGGATCTACATAGTGCATGCATTGTATGTCTGTATGCAGAGAAGCTCTGTATTACTCAAGTGATTAAGATTTTGTAACTACTGCCAAGAATTCTAAAAATTTCCATAATAGCATGAACAGAAAGTAATGGATTGAGTTTTCTTTGACAGCTAGTCATTCTATCATTGCTCAAAGGAATGGGAAGTGGAATTATGTGTGTTAAAGATGTTGAGTCATTGCTGCCTGAACTTTTAGAAAGACGCCATCAGTATCATCAAAGGAATGGGAAGTGGAATTATGCGTGTTAAAGATGTTGAGTCATTGCTATTATAATTTTCTAAATTAACTTTCTTTGAATGGGAATATGAATATCAAGTTGTCTCAAATGTCCAAATTTGTATTTTGGTGAACTTAGATTCCTATTTTGGCTCAAATAGAAGGGCATCCAATTTTGGTGACTCCTTAATGTTATTCAAATGATTTGTGTGAATGCTTTTTTTTTTCTTCTGCACAATGATTGTGGTGTGGACTATCATTTGATGAGATTTTATTATGTGAATGATAGTTATTATTTCATATTAGTGTTATTTTTCAGTTTTATTATAGGTATATTTTTAATTCAATAACATAAAATTAGCACAATTAAAAAAAAAAAAGGGCTATCACGGCGTTTCTCAAAACGTCGTTAAATAATATCAGAGATACGACGGCGTTTTAAAACGTCGTTAAATAGCATGGTGATGTCATGTTGCCGTTAGTAGACTTTTTAGCGGCATTATTATCATATAGCGACATTTCTAAAGCGCCATAGAGTTATAGCGACGGCCGCATCTTCGGCGTTTGGTGCTAAACGTCACAAAAGGATTTGACGGTGTTTTTAAGACCTATTGCGGTGTTTTTTAAACACCTCTAAAACCCCAATTTCCAGCCGTGTATGTCAAAATTATAAAATTTATTATATTTTCTTCAAATTTTAAAACAGCATAGTGTAATATATCCATAATTGAAGGAGCGATGAATTTCACAAATAATTTGATAAATATAGTACTTTAATAAATAATTATATTTGAAATATAAATTTTCACTAAAAAAAGACCCAAATTATAAAGGGTAATTACTATTTAGAGCATTCACTCCAAGAATCTAGCTAGCTAACCCGACAAGAGTCCCTCCCTACAACAAATTTCAAAAGGGCCCAAAATCAAACCAAACAGCCCTTTAAATCCAACGTAAATAATCACTCGAGAGAGAGAGAGAGAGAGAGAGAGAGATGGCAGGAACGAATTTAATCTGGAATCCAAGTCCACTATTGGGGTTGAGTTCGCTACCCAAAGCCTCAACATTGATGGCAAGGTCATCAAAGCTCAAAGATTTAAAAACGCAGATATTGCAAAAAGAATTGCTGAAGAAGTTCTTAGGCTTAATCCTCAGGATTCGGCTCCATATGTACTGCTGTCGAATGTTCAAGCCTCTGCTAAAAGATGGCAGGATGTTTCAGAAGTGAGGAAAGTGATGGGAGATAGGAGGGTGAAGAAGGAGCCATGTATTAGCTGGTTTGAGGTGAAAAACCAAGTTTACCAGTTTTGTATGGGTGACAAATTCCATCCACAATCAATGGCGATTGATATGTACTTGAAAGAATTGACTTGGGAAATTAAATTGAGGGGTTATGTGCCTGACACCGGCATTGTTCTACAAGACATGGATGCTGAGGAGAAGGAATACAACATGGCACACCCCAGCGAAAAGTTGGCAATTGCTTTTGCACTGATGAACACTCCAGAGGGTGTTCCAATCCGGGTGTCTGCGGTGAGTGCCATGTTGCTATCAAGTACATAGCGGAGATACAAAATCAAGAAATTATTGTACGAGATGCCAGTAGGTTTCACCATTTCAAAGATGGGAAATGTGTTAGTGTCCAGCACCATTTCTCCACTACCCAAATAGAGAACCCACTTGAAAAGAAGTGGGGGTGGTAAGTGGGGGTGGCACCTCCCCATTAATGTGGGTGGGGGTGGCCACCGCCCCACTAATTGTTTGTGGCTCTCCTCTTCCTCAATTGTGTATAAATTGAGGTGAGGAGAGGAGGTTTATCAACACACAGAGATATAGAGATTGTGAGAGTTCAAATGTAGTGAGAGTGCTATAGTGAGTGAGTGAGGTTTGAATGATGTACACTCCCTCCGAGAAATTCTATAGTGGACAGCTCTCCGTGGACGCAAGTTGTAACGCCCCGAAAATTGGGCATGATATATCTATTTATGCAACAAAACCCACCTGATAGACAAACACATATATATAACTAACTATTCCATACATCTATTTCCATTGAATCCCAAATGTCAAATACATGTTGTTCACATCTCAATGCCCCAATTCTGATCCCAAGCATGCGCTTTACAATAAGTATGAAATGGAAACCAAACGGATAATAAGTGCCCTACAGGCCTACAAATTTATCTAAGAACATTTTTGGTTACACAAAATGGAGTTTCAACTCAACACAAATACAACCCTGGGCTTATATTCAATAAATAACAATAAAACAAAAATGAAGCCTCAGCTCCGAGTCCTCCCAAGTCAATGCCTTGGTGGAGGCATAGTACCTGTACTTGAAAATAATTCCCTTATAGGGTGAGCCAGAGCCCAATAGAGATATACTACACAACATATGAACAATGACAAGACTAAAGAGGAGTATGCTCATGATATGCTCGTGATAAAACAGTTTCTCTCTCTTTTTATAAAGCATGCAATGCTGAGATGCACAACAAATATAAAACCATTTCCATTTGAAACCATATCTGTTACATAAATAGATGCCCTGTGAATCTCTAGGCGAGTGTCTGCAAGCAGGCCCTAATGCACTACTACTGTCATTTTTACCAGTAAACTGGAAGGCTCGACACCTAACCGTGCAGTTCCACACCCCCTACCCAGATTCACTAAGTATTCATCTTTTCGCAAATAGTTACACTTCCAAACATTTCTAAAAAATAAAAAAACGTTTCCAATGAAATGAATGTAATGTAATGTCCAATGCAACAAATGAGGAATTGGTTCAATTTACCTAAGTCTCATGCATTTCTACAGCAATCATGGCTGTCCTCCACCAATAGCCCCAAACAAATATTTCTAAACAGATATTTAAATAATTAATTTCTAAAAATTTCGATAGATACAACCGATTCCACATCTCATCAAATATGAACAACTACACTAGTTTTCATACCACAATCACGTCCGGTAACCTTGCAAGGTCCATTTCTAACCGTGTCGGTTTTATTCCAATAGATACATTAAGCAAAATAATATTGTTAATGCCCAAGAAAATATCATTTTCTTTCCAAACTCAATCTCCAAGCGTTATTCAACTATGACATCCTATTTTGATCAAAAGCCCCCAAAATTAAATGCAATTTTTTTGTTTTCTTTAAAAATGCTCTTTTGGTCACAAACCGGTAAAAATTTCAAAACCAATCGAATTGGAGTTCGTTTTTGTTCAAATTTAAAACATAGCTCTTTCATAACCTTACAAACATATTTCAAGTTTACACTTTTGCAATTTGGGCATCAACTCTTTATTTTTTTCAAAATTTCCCTTTTAAGCAAATAAATTACGAATTTTTCCAAAAATTTTAATTAAATTATATGCAACTTTAAACTCCCTATAATCAAGTAAAAATGCATAAAGAAGTGTAGAAAAAATTCCTACCTCAAGCTTCACTTCATAGCCCATTTTGCTCTATCCACAAAACCCACCAGTAATGCACAAACGCTGCCCTCCAATGCCCCAGCATACCAAAAGTAATCCCCAGTCAACCTGGCAAGCTCTAATGCAGTAGAATAATGGGCATCGGCATCAACAAGTGATCCTACAAATAAACAGTAATCCCCTAAAGTTTTCTGTGGCACGACCAAGTCTACCCTTTTTTTTTTTTTGCCTTAATCACCTCCTCGGAGCTGAGACTAGCTTGACAGTCTAAAGGTGTCTTCAGAATAGTTCCACCAGAATCTGGTCGAAGAACCCACTTTTTAAATTCCATCCGCAATGAGGCAGCAACATCTTGCATCATTATGTGCAAGTGGAATTCCTGAGTTTGCCGATCAGCAGAAGGAAACAGAACTAAATTATCCGCTTTTCTGCTGTTATCCTCTAGCTGAGAATCACCGGGGCAGAAAGCGAAACATCACTGGACGAGCGAAGAAGAGTAGCTCTTACACGCATTAGAGAACTGTTTGATGAAAGATTCGAGATCGGGACAATGACAAATACCGATAACAGCTAAGATCTTCCGATTGAACTGGAAGTCTTCCCAAGGACTCGCCGCCGATCCACCTATCCATGTTAATGCTATTTACATCAATGCCATCGTCCAGCAAAATCCTGGGCTCCCTTCACGTCACCTCCTCTACAAGCCATGCATCAAGAATTTGTGTCACTGACGCAGATCATGGTCCAGACAGCCCGAATCTGTGTATGAGTTAGAGAGAGAGCAGTCTGTTCGTCGCCTCCTCCTCTGTGTGTGTCTTCAGCCCATGTGTGTGTCTTTGTGTTTTTGGTGTGCACTGCCCGAATTCAACACAGAGAGAGAGATGTTGCGTCTCTTTATTTTTTTTGATTCGAAAATGCTCCACCACCTAAGAGAGAGATTTACCACCTTCCCTGGACCGACATCCAGGACATTTTCGCTTGGTGTGAGAGGCCCCATTGCTATACTCTTCACTTTGAGCTGCCTTATGTGGTTTTCTTTATAAAAAAAAAAATTATTTTTCTTTCCATGCTTGAACCCCACCCTAGCACCTCCTCTTTATTTTATCACCTGTGTCTCCCCCTTTCATGATAAAACACCCACTCACTCTTTTTTTTATATTCCTTCCCGAGAGAGACAAGAGAGTGCATTATTATTTTTTTTTCTTTAATCCTTTTCTTCCACCGAAAGTGAGCAACCCTCTCAAATAATTTTTCCCCACCACATTTTTTTTATATTTTTTTTTATTTGGGTCTTTGCATAAGCAATTGCCGAACCACGTAAATACTCTTGTGTTATTGTGTGTGATTGATTCCTGGTGTCTCACAGTCCCAACAAGTGGTATCAGAGCCGAATCAGTTGCGTTTCAGAAAAACAGAGTGCGTTTCTTTGAAATTACCAGAAATCAAGTTGCTCAAAATTAGGTTTTGAGCATACCAGGAGCAAGGGCTCGAAGAGGGGAATGCAGAACTGCAAAGCAGACCCCAGGAAGAGCCTCGACGCTCCCTCACGTGCCCCCTAAAGTAGGCGCGTGACGCCCACTCTCAACACGCGCCGTCAACACAGCCGGCGCGTCATCCCACACGCACACGCGCACCCCACGCACGTCTGAAGGAGGAAGACGACTACGTCAACGCCAAGTCAGTGCCCAGTCAGCACCACGTGTTGCCACCTCATCGACACGTCATCCGACACGCTA